GGGGGGTGTACCACGGAACAATAGAAGCAGTGAGTAAAGACGGCTACACATTATGTATGTTTCAAAAGTACCACAGTACAATAGTAGCAATGAGTAAATGTCGCTACACATTATGTGCGTTCTAAAGGTACCACGGAACGATAGTATAGCTGTGAGTAAAGGCGGCAGGATCTACACATTATGTATGTTTCAAACTTACCACGGTATAATAGTAGTTATGAGTAAAGGTCGCTATACATTATGTACGTTCCAAACGTACCACGGTACAATAGTAGCTATGTGTAAAGACGGCTACACATTATGTATGTTTCAAAGGTACCACGGTACTATAGTATAGCTGTGAGTAAAGGTTGGTACTCATCATGTATGGTTCAAAGGTACCACGGTACTATAGTATAGCTGTGAGTAAAGGTTGGTACTCATCATGTATGGTTCAAAGGTACCACGGTACAATAGTATAGCTGTGAATAAAGACGGCTACACACGCACGTTTTAAACATACCGCGGTACAATAGTAGTAAAGGTATGTGTATAAAACACATGTATATATGTTTTAAAAGTACCCTGGAACAATAGTATAACTGTGAGTAAAGGCGGCTAGATCTACTATGTTCTAAAGGTACCACGGTACAATAGTAGCAGTGAGTAAAGGTCGCTACACATTATGTACGTTTCAAACTTAACACAGTACAATAGTAGCAATGAGTAAAGACGGTTACACATAATAATATACGTTCTAAAGGTACCACAGAACAACTGTATTGCTGTGAGTAAAGGTGACCACACACGTAAGTTTCAAAGGTACCACAGAACAACTGTATTGCTGTGAGTAAAGGTGACCACACACGTAAGTTTCAGAGGTACCACGGAACAATAGTAGCTGTGAATGAAGACGGCTAGATCTACATAATATTATGTATGTTTCAAACTTACCACGGTACAATATTAGCAATGAGTAAAGGTCGGTACACATTTTGTACGTTTCAAACTTACCACGGTGCAATAGTAGCAATGAGTAAAGGTCGGTACACATTATGTATGTTTCAAACTTACCACGGTGCAATAGTAGCAATGAGTAAAGGTCGGTACACTTATGTACGTTCTAAAGGTACCACGGAACGACAGTATAGCTGTGAGTAAAGACGGCTAGATCTACATAATATGTATGTTTCAAACGTACCACGGTACAATAGAAGCTGTGAGTAAAGACGGTTACACATTATGTATGTTTCAAAAGTACCAGGGAACAACAGTTTAGCTGTGAGTAAAGGCGGCTAGATCTACATAATATGTATGTTTCAAACTTACCACAGAACAATAGTAGGTGTGAGTAAAGGTCGCTACACATGTAAGTGTTCGATTCTCATTCAAGGTCCTGGGTTCGAAACCGGGTAGCGACGGACGAATTTTCTTCTCTAAAATTATCTTCTTTCATCTTCTTTTATTCTCTCTTGCAATATTCTGCCGTGCCAAGACAGACCAACGTTTCTGCAAAAAATTATTAATTTTTGTATCTTCGTTTAAATGGACGCCTATACGCATTGCGCGTCTTGTGTCAGAGGCAGGAAGACGTATCTGCACTACAAATAGGAGGATATTTCACTATGGCAAACAGACGTAACTGAAGGGACATGGCCGTGTGAGAGAGAGAGAGAGAGA